TTTGGTTCAACTAAAAATCTAAGTTAAAGTTAACAATTAATTTTAACAACACATTTCTTAGCTACAACTTTTCAACCAAACATTTCATCAAATTTTATTAAAATCCATTAAAAATTTGATTTTTATGTGCACCAAACTGGGGCTATGAATAAGAAGACCACAGTGGGAATATCAAGCCTCTCAAGTCTCTCTCTCAGCGAAAAATGGCCATTTAAAAGTTTTTTTTTTTTTTTTTGTACGAGTAGGAATTTTAGGACAACCTAATACATGCACTCTATATATTTTCTAAACCCAAAAGTTCATAGTCGAGGAGATGAGTGTGCACACAATCTAAACATATTGTCAATTAACATAAAAGCAGACTTAAAACGCGAAACCTATGTAACCTGTTTAAAATTGTTGCTGATTTTGCCCAAAGAAAAAGAATGGTGAAGAGGAGCAATAACACGGGATAATGAGAGCAGAGTATAATCAGATATCTCAAACACCACCCAAGCAGCCAAAGTCACCACTAAAATTCCTGCTGTCAGATTTTTTCGCCTCCATAGCATCACATCTGCAATTGTTTCAATAGAACAGTATCAGAAATTGATTTCTTGATACCAAAACATTCCCAATTTTTAAAGAACGATTCTTTTCTTGCATATTACCACCTAAATGGCATAAAGATTGTTGAAAATTAATTTAAATAAATAAAGGTTCAGAAAATACTGTTTCAACTCAGTATCAAAATTCAAGTCATCCCACCACCTATTTATGAAAAAAATGTGCACAAGACATGTATTTAGTTCCGGAATCATTTCTCACTTTTAGATCAAGAGGTTCAAGAAGATGACTGACCAACCATGTGGGAATTGCAATACTAAATCAATAAGATAATTGTCGGGTATATGTGGATTATGATATCCTCTCTTCAGTAAATACAAACATTACGTTGATGAAGTGAAAAAAGAAAAACTGATCTGAAAATTTCAGATGCCGGACTTAGATGAACAGTTCTCTGCCTGGAAAACAACCGATCTGATGAACACATTTTAAAGAACTAAGAAACAAACAGAACCCAGAAACCAATTTAAATGGTTGGAAAATAATTTATCATGTCTTTCCATGCTTTATAAGGAAGTAGAGATCAGTTTATTCTGTAAAGCTATGAACATCATTTGTTTTCTTGGCCTTGAAACTGTGTGACAGTTTGTGTGGAGTTGGATTTTGGTCGACATGTGGGGTAGGTAGTTCTCAAGTTACAGCTTAAAAACACTTGGTTTTTATTTTGCCAATTCACCTCCGAATATGGATGTGATTGGCTCATCAACATCTCTTCTTTCCTTCCTCCATGAATATATTACATGTATACTTGGACACTTGCATTAGAGACGGAGACCAAGACTTGTCCAAACAAAGATGGGGAGGCTGCGATCGTTACGCGCACCAATGCTCAGACTCTCAAGCCAACAACAGATAGATAATTTCGTGGGAGAGAAACATGAAAGAGAAGGAATCCATAAATTTGGTTTTCTAGATTGAGAAATACCACTGAGTGTTAACATTTATAGACAAATGAATGAATCTGAAGTTTTTTCTATGCTTGACATGTGACTTCATCCTAACGATGCAAGTTTAGTTTCAAAATGTCACATCCTAATCATAATAGACTTCCCCAGTGTCCTGGGAGAGAGAGAGGGGATTTAAATCTCAACCGTCCTTGTAGAGATGTCACATCAATCAAATTGTACATAACTTAAAGTGTTTGGGTCTCTGGGGAGGCCCATCCAATGTGTCTAAGGGTTGGGTTCTTGTTGATCGCCTCGAATAGGCAAAGTGACAAGTTTATATAGAGTTATGTCGCTTCACAGATGGGTGGTGGAGATGGTAGTAAATGATCTCACCGCTTGAGAGCTGGAGGTGGAAGAGGCGACACAACCATTGTGTTCCCTTCGGTGAATAAGTACATTTTGCTTAGCTAATCACATGATATATACCACATAGGTAGAGGCATAACAAACTCTATTCTAAATAATGAAGTTGCAAATAGGGTCCATCGAGGCGGCAGATGGTGGTCGTGTTGGGTGTGGAGTGGTGTTTTATTCGTGTTCTTTTCCAACTACAGTCTTTTTCAACGGTTTGCAGTTTAAAAAAATTTCACAATTCGCTCACTTTGAAAAAAAGGGCAATTAATCATAAAGCGAGCAAAAGTTTTCATAATCCGATCTCATATATTATTTATCTACTTCCCAATTCTATTTACAAAGTCCTTCGTAAAGAAAGAATAACAAAAATAGGTTAAGACATAGTGAAATCTTAAGTTATTTCTTAGTGTTCTAGGTTGGCGTTAAAAATTTTCGTTTGACGACGACGACAACAAGAGAGAGAATGATTTTCAGAAAAATAATAAAGTTAAGAGACATTAGATGTAAACTTCAGAATCAAATAAATCATTTAATCTTGTATTTCTGGAGATTAAATAGCTGTAGGACGTGACAGGTTATTAATCTCCACCAAAATTTCTACATATTACTTTGTCAGCCACCAACCCTCTCATTTGATTCCCTGTTATTTAGGTTTTGCTGCAAAAGTAGGTTAACAAAGTGAATAGCAAAGGATGCCACCTTATCTGCGTGTGGCAAGATTGACTTAAATATACATCCAAACCAATATGCATTAATGCTATATTATTGATTTACTGTAATTATTTTGAAATTATTAAGACGTCTATAATATATTAAAATATTACATCAAATGAGAATAACTTTTTTGGACGATTATAGCTTTGCTACAATTCAATTATTTCATTAATATCTAATTTTTTGTTTTTCAATATGTATTTAATTTACAAATTGTAATAAATAATACAAAATATTTGCTCATATATGTATTCATTGTTATTAATTCTTAATTAATTAATATTAAAATTAGTATTCATTTAATTAATATTAATATGTTATAAATTCTCAATTAATTAATATTCATGTTCATTTAATTAATGTGCAGTTCATTATTCACGTCAATATATGTTAATTAGTATTCAATTTCACTTAATTGAAAATTAAATTATATTCATTTAGTATAAAAATGATTTAACATTCATTGTCACGTATATATTCATTGGTATTAATTATAAATTAATTAACATTCACGTTAATTCATATGTCGTATTTGTCATTCATCTCCATTTATGCATTCACATTCAAGTACTCATTTCACTATTTATGTGCATATATAATAATTAACATTTTATTTTCGGGACTTGCATTTCTCTCATATTTAAATTAAAAGGATAAATGGATGGTCAAATATTACATTCATAACACTTATAAATCATTTCAAAATAACGTGCAACGCATGTTCAATTAAAATTGAAAATATAGTCGTTATTAGGTCCCACCCGACTAATAAAAGTCAATAATAACGACTAATTTTTCAATTTTAATTCGATTTTAATCCCCCACAAACAAGCTCATAATTCGCCTGAATCCATTTTTTATTTTATAGAATCCATCGAGCATTGACACTTGCGGCAGGCTGTAAACACTCACGTGACACTCAGTTCCGGATCAGGGTAGAGATGTCCGGACCCGTTTTGGTTTCAACGGTGAAACCGAAGGGTGGCTGGCTCAAGCTCATGAATACAGAGAATTAGGTTTCTCTTTCATCTGAAGCATAGAGAGTATCGAAAAATAATATTAGAAGCATTTTCTCTTCTCCATTGCACTTACTCTCTGTGACGATCTTCTCGATGCTCTTTCTCTCTCTTCTTCCTTCATAATCTCTCTCTCTCGCACACCACACACATTTGCTCAGCCACACCACTACTTCACCTCCTTCAATTGCGAATCCAGATCTCTCATTCCGATTTGAATCTCCCTCATTCGTCTCTGCTTGCAGGTGTGTTATCTTTGATAATCGGATTAGTTTGCTGGATGCATGAATTCCTTTGTTCTGTTAATTGGAATCTGAATTTATGTGTAGAGTCTTTATCCTATTAGCATTTCCTAATTAGCTGTGTGCACTGCTTGGGTTGAATTAGCTAAATAGTCTTATTATTATCATTATTTCTACTAAACACTTATAATGGAAAATCAAGCTAATTTTTTGCGGAACCGAGCCATTTCTTTCTCCCGTTTTCTTGGAGTTTTATATACTGGTAATTTCTGTTTCGGTTTCACTCATTAATTTTTGATTTTCCTAATTCCATTCGTCTTGAATATTCTTGATTACAGCATTAACACATCTGTTTTTTTCCTGGGGTAATCAGTGGAAATCATACATATCCTGCATGCGGACAGCTGGTCCTATTCTGTTGATTGCTCTGATACAATAGCTGAAAAATCTTATAAAATATTAGAAACGAGAATCTGAATATTCTATGCTCATGAAATTTCCTATCTAAATTAACCAAAATTTCCATAAATACAGTAGTTAAGCTAAAATTTAGACTTTTAATTGGGAAATTGTTCAAGATGATGCCACAAGGTTGGCAATGTATTGAATTCGTTGTCAATTTTTTTTTCTTGAAGAAGAGATGCCATTTTGTGAGTTGTCATAAATCTTGTTTTGTTATGCTGTTCCTGTTTAAATGCAACCCTGATATAATCTGATATTTTACTTTTCATTTCTCTGTCTCTACTTCAGAGGTTTATTTATCTAGTTTCATGTCAATCTTTTCAAATCTCAAACTTTGCTACATTGTATGTCCGGTGTCTCTGTTTATTTATTTAATCATTTTGGCTTGATTGCTGGGATATATTTACTAATAAGCAGATGATTAATTTCTCTTTAGTGCTTAATGATATATTTGTCTCCAATATGCAATATATGCTTACTGCTTGCCTCAGCTACTATAAAAGATTCATTTCTGAACTTTAACCCTCAATTTCCTTTAATGGTTCTTCCTTCTCTCTCTTCGATTTTTCTTTTGGTGATTTCAATTACTCATTAAATCATTTCCTATTGTTGGCTGAAAAAGGATTCACGCTGAGTAATCCGCTTGCACAAGTGGAAAAATGGCTTCAATGACCCAATCTCCAGTGTCAATCACGGGAAATTTGGCTTCCAAACCCTCTGCTTCAGATCTTCTTAAGAGTTCTAGTAATTCTATTTGTGGTGTACCCCTAAAAGCACTTGGAAGGGCCCAACTAGGAGCAAAACGGAGAGACTTTACTATCTCTGCAAAGGTTAGGAAAGTGAAAAAGCACGAATATCCATGGCCAGAAGATCCTGACCTGAATGTGAAGGGTGGAGTCCTCAGCCATCTCTCACCCTTCAAGCCTTTGAAAGAGAAGCCAAAGCCAGTAACCTTGGATTTTGAAAAGCCTCTTATGGATCTGCAGAAGAAAATTGTTGATGTATTAACCATTTAAATTGGAGTATGTGTTTTTTTTATGGAAACTTGTTAGTATAGAAAATATGATTGTGTTTTTTTCTTTTTTTTTTTTTTTTTTGAATTACAGGTGCAAAAAATGGCAAATGAAACTGGGCTGGACTTCAGTGATCAAATTATCTCGCTAGAGAACAAATATCAACAGGTTTAGCCAATCATACGTGCCTCTAAATTACATTGCCATCTTTCTTTTCTTTCATGAGCACAATAGTTGCTGTCTGTGCCTTGTGCTGACTTCTGTCTGAACACAATCTTCATATATTGGAGGCAAAACTTATAGATGCAAGTTGTAACCAAGGCGGACGCAGAACTTAAAAGTTAGGGGGGCTCAATCGAACTTGTAAAAAAGTTGGGAGAAATTTTACAATAAAAAATTTACGTCCAAAAAAATCATACCCCATGTAATTTTACATCCGAAAATTTACATGGGATAGGACTTTTTCGGATGTAAAATTTCGAAAATTTTTGATATCATAGTCCACATAAAATTTCCAAATAAAATGATGAAAATTANAGCTACACTCTCTCTGACGATCTTCTCGATGCTCCTTCTCTCACTTCTTCCTTCATAATCTCTCTCTCACACACCACGCACTCTTCAACTCCTTCGATTGAGTATCCAGATCTTTCATTCCGATTTGAATATCTCCGATTCGTCTTTGATTGCAGGTGTGTTATACTTTTGAGAATCGGATTAGTGTGCTGGATGTATGAATACCTTCGGTTTTTTAATTGGAATCTAAATTTAATTTGAGGAATTATGCTTTTAATCTTTCCCAATTGGAGGTGTGCACTGCTTGGTTGAATTAGCTAAATAGTCCTGTTGTTATCATTATTTCGCGTACACTGTAATATCTAATGTTGTCTGACTAAAACTATGATCCTTTTTAATGAAAAATCGAGTTATATATAGCCATTTCTTTCTCCTGTTTCTTTGGAGCTGTGTATACTGTTAATTTCTGTATTTTTTTTCACTACTTGATTTTATAAATTTCATTTATCTTTTATATATTTGATTACTGCATTAAGTTATCTGTTTGTTTCTTGGGGTAATAATTGAAAATTTTACCTTTCCTGCATGGCGACAGCTGGTCCCGTTCTGTTGGTTGCTCTGTTTAATAGCTGAAACATCTTATAAAATATTAGAAACGAGAAAGTGAATGTGCACTATGCTTATGAAATTTTCCTATCTATTCAACTCCATTAGTGAAGGTTATCCAAAAGTATATTAATCAGTAGTTGAGCTAAAATTTGGACCATAGTTGGCGATGTATTGTATTCGTTGTCAGTTTGTTTGTTAAAGAAGAGATACCATTTTATGAATTGAGTCATAACTGTTGTTTTGTTATGCTATTCCTGTGTAAAAGCAATCCTTGTATAATCTGATATTTTACTTTTCACTCATCTTTGGGTAACTTCAGAGGTTTATGCTTCGAACTTTGCTTCATTGTATGTCCAATATCTCTGTTTATTAATTTAATAATTTTGGCTTGATTTTTTAGATACATTTAATAGGAAGCAGATAATTGATATATTCTCTTTAGTGTTTAACGTTATTTCTGTCTCCAATATGTTATATATGCTTACTGCTTGCCTCAGCTACTAAAAGATTCATTTTCTGAACTCTAATGCTCAATTTCCTTTAATGCTTCTTCCTTTTTCTCTTTGATTTTTCTTTTTGGTAATTCAATTACTCATTAAATCATTTCCTATTGTTGGCTGAAAGAGGATTCACTACACGGAGTAATCCGCTTGCACAAGTGGAAAAATGGCTTCAATGACCCAATCTCCAGTGTCATTCACTGGAAATTTGGCTTCCAAACCCTCTGCTTCAGATCTTCTTAAGAGTTCTAGTAATTCTGTTTATGGTGTGCCCCTAAAAGCACTTGGAAAGGCCCAACTAGGAGCAAAGCGGAGAGACTTCGCTATCTCTGCAAAGGTTAGGAAGGTGAAAAAGCACGAATATCCATGGCCAGAGGATCCTGATCTGAATGTGAAGGGTGGAGTCCTCAGCCATCTCTCACCTTTCAAGCCTTTGAAAGAAAAGCCGAAGCCAGTGACCTTGGATTTTGAAAAGCCTCTTATGGATCTGCAGAAGAAAATTGTTGATGTAAGAACCATTTAAACTTGGGTATGTGTTTTGTTTATGGAAACTTGTTGGTACAGAAAATGTAATTTTTTTTTCTTTTTATAATTACAGGTGCAAAAAATGGCAAACGAAACTGGGCTGGACTTCAGTGATCAAATAATTTCTCTAGAGAATAAATATCAACAGGTTTAGCCAATCATACATGAAACCAAATTACATTCCCATCTTACTTTCTTTCACGAGCACAATAGTTGCTACCTGTGTCTTGTACTGACTTCTGCTATTTCAATACAATCTTCATAAGTTAAAGGCAAAACTTACAAATGCAAGTTGTAACTTCAATTTTCATATTATAATGTCTGAAAATTTGATTTTACATATCTATTCATTCGTTTCATTGCAGGCACTGAAAGATCTGTACACGCATTTGACTCCTATACAGCGTGTGAGCATTGCACGGCATCCTAATAGGCCAACGTTTCTCGATCATGTCTTCAATATTACTGAGAAGGTCTGGTAGCTTCTCTAGTCTGACATTTAATTTGCAATTTTTGCTCTTTAAAATTTTAGTTTTTACCTTCTACATTTCCATATACTCGTCATTTGTAATCAGGTAAACAATAATTTATTATTAGTAGAAAACCACTTATGATAGGATGAGAGATCTTCATATCATAACAAACCTTTTCATTTCCAACTGTCCAGTTTGTAGAGCTCCATGGTGATAGAGCTGGATACGATGATCCTGCTGTGGTCACTGGCCTTGGTACAATTAATGGTAGGAGTTACATGTTCATGGGCCATCAGAAAGGACGGAATACAAAGGAGAATATTCAGCGCAACTTTGGGATGCCTACTCCCCATGGGTATACATTTGGGAAACAATGTGTTTGTCGTATTTTAAACTTCTACATGAAGTGTACATATTGAAAAAACCCCACTAGGTCCTAGTTGCTTAGGAATAACCATTGGGGACACGTGCATTAACACATTTGTTGATGTTGTAGAAAATTCCATTTCGCCACAATGCAGGAAGCTTTAAAATGAGGAAATGCATTTATCCCGTGCTAAATTGTGTGTTTTGTATCCAACAGTTATCGGAAGGCACTACGCATGATGTACTATGCAGATCACCATGGATTTCCAATTGTTACTTTCATTGACACTCCAGGAGCATATGCTGACCTTAAATCTGAGGAACTTGGCCAAGTATGTGTATGGTAATGGTGGAATCCTCCTGAGTGACTGGAGTGTGCAATTAATCATTTGTTTTAATGTATGTAGGGGGAAGCAATAGCTCAGAACTTGAGGACTATGTTTGGTCTGAAAGTGCCAATTGTCTCAATTGTTATGGGAGAAGGTGGCTCTGGTGGAGCTCTGGCTATTGGTTGTGCCAACAAACTATTAATGCTTGAAAATGCAGTCTTCTATGTTGCCAGGTGATTTTAAATTGACAATCAGCATATTTACTCCAGTCCTACATTGTTCAAGGGGCTTGTTTGTTATGTAGATGGTCTACATACCACTTGGATGATAATCATGGTTAATCCTTAATTGCAATTGTGGATGGTTCCTTTATCGACAAAAAAAATCCTGTCAACTACCTCCTTGAGAAGTCTTGTTTGCATCATCCTTAAATGCTGCTCACAGACCCATAACATTCACTATTTCATTGTTTCCTGAATGAATTTTATTGCAAGTGCATTGTCACTCTATCATCCTTTTGACCAATGAGGCTCGATGGAATCCTATTGTATGTTAGTGTCATTGTCTATTAGAGTGCACATTTTGATCAGCGGCAAATAGAAATAGCTTGACAATAAATATAAAATAAGTATATTTTACAGTTCATTACTTGTTTGCGAGAAAGCCATCCACTTCATTGCATCCACAGTACCATCCTCTTGACCATACCTTCTCTGTGTCATCCATTCATTACCTTGTTTTCAAAACATGTACATGCTAAAGCCAAAAGGTATTAACGAGTGACAGTATGGTGGTGAATTATAGTAAGCTAAATGTTTTATCGCATAATGTAGAATAGGCTAGAACTATTGAGGCCAACAAATAAAAATTAACTTTGTGAACTCTTGACACTTGATTAAATAAATCATTATAATGTGACTCATTTACCAACAAAGGCAATTAAATAATCTTACAGGCAGAACTGCGTACACATTTTTATTTTGAATATGTGGATTTATTATTAATGGGATAAACCTCTTTTCTCTAGCTGAATATTATTCGAAACATAGCACGAGTCTTTCCCAATCATAATATTCTCGAACTCTAGCAAATTTTTTTATTTCCTTAATAAAGTATTTAACGTAATTTCATTCGTTTACTTGTTAACTTCTTATTCACATTCAATTTCCATGGCACAGCCCAGAGGCATGTGCAGCAATCTTGTGGAAGAGTGCGAAAGCTTCTCCAAAGGTGGTTTGACTGATCTGTTACTTTTTGTCTAGAAGAGATAAAATTATTGTGACTCAATATACTTCCTTCTCATTCCAGGCAGCTGAGAAGCTAAAGATAACAGCTAAAGAACTGTGCAAGCTAGAAGTTGCTGACGGCATCATCCCTGTAATATTCTCTCACCATTTTATTCATTGCATCTTCTTTACCACAACTCTATCTCATTACCCGAATATTCTTTCTTACTTTAATTTTAATCTGAAAACATTCTAAATGTTTAAATGTGTTTTGAACATGAAATGTCATGTGTTTAAGATCGGAAGTACATAACTGGAGATTCCTGAGGACTTTTTGACCCGAGAAGAATATTCTTTGCGTTTTGTACCTTATTGCATTGCTTATGCTGTAGAAATTTTTGTTTCATGTCATCTCCAAACTTGTAAAACTTTTTATGATTAATTGGAATTTATGACTCATTTTAGGAACCTCTCGGCGGTGCACATGCTGATTCATATTGGACTTCACAACAGATAAAAACTGCAATTGTTGAATCAATGGATGTGAGTGGCACCTTCACCTTTTTTCATAATATTGTGTGTGTTTATCAGAAGCTTAATACACATCTGATTTCTGCAGGAACTTGGAAAAATGGACACAGAAGAGCTGTTAAAACATAGGGCTCAAAAGTTCCGTAAACTTGGTGGATTCCAAGAGGGAATTCCAATTGATCCAAAAAAGAAGGTCAATATGAAAAAGAAAGAAGAAGCCATAGTTGTGTCTAAGACTTCAGAAGTGGAGTTGAGGGATGAGGTTCAAAAACTGAAACAGCAGATTCAGAAAGCTGGTAAAGTGTCTGTAGATCATCGAGAACCAGGTCTAAATGAGATGATAGAGAAGTTGAAAAGCGAAATTGATTATGAGTATGAAGAAGCGGCAAAAGCTGTAGGTTTGGAGGACAAAATTGTGATGTTGCGAGAAGAAGTTGCAAAAGCAAGAAATTTGAAAGACCACCTCACACCAGTATTGAAGGAAAAGATAGAACAGTTGAATGATGAATTTAACAAGAATCTTCCATCAGCTCCTAATTACTCCAGCCTGAAATATAAGCTTGATATGTTGAAGGAATTATCCCAAGCTCAGAGTATGTCAGAAAAGAGCACCAACACAGACAAACTGAAAGTCGAAATTGATAAGAGATTCAAAGAAGTCATGGATCGGCCTGATTTAAAACAAAAGATTGAGACAGTAAAAGGTGAAATTGCAAAATCAGGGGTGTCGGAACTAGTTAATTTAAACCAAGATCTAAAGGAAAAATTTGTGCAGTTGAGCGAAGAGTTAGAGTCAGAATTTAAAGCTATTCTTGAATCTATGGGTTTGCAGGTGTATCCACGTACAGCCCTAGAAGCGAAGGCAAAATTAGACATGCTCAATGAAGAAACTGATATGATTATAGAAGATGTTATCAATTCATCAAATTTGAAAGACAAAATTGATCTGCTAAAGATGGAAGTGGCAAATGCTGGAAATGCACCAGATGCAGAGTCAAAAAGCAAGATTCAGACTTTGGAGGCAGAAATCAAGCAGGCAGTTGCCGAGGCTGTAAGTTCCCCTGAACTGAAAGAGAAGTACGAGAAGCTGCAGGGTCAGATACTTGAAGCCACCAAATCTTCTGTAGGATCAGATGGAAGTTTGGTTAAACAAAATGTAGATGAACAGTCGAAGCACGATGGATCGCCACTAGAAGTCAATTCAGAAGCAAACCGCAGCTTTGTCTGATATAAGAGCATAAAGAATTTTTCGTTTCTCAATGTCTTTGTTGAGCATGATTTGGTGATGAATCATTGTTCACAGGATAGCATGCTGGATGGAACTTTTTTCAACCTGCAGTTATTCTCCAGTACCGAGTACCAGTATCTTCAGGAGTCCCTGAGGTTTTGAATTCTCAAAAACATGATGGTGGCTCATAAGATATGCTTTTTTCAGCTTGATTTTCCTTCTTGGACTAAACCTTTAAACTTTACATTGTTTAGCTATTTGTTTTTAATTTTATCTTGCTTTCGAGTTTCGTTAATTGCCCTTTTTTCAGCAGATAAAGGAACATATGGTTGTATAAATTAATTATTTGAGTTCCAAGAATGATTAAAGAGTGCATTGTTAAAAATCTGGAATATTTTGAGTGGCTGTGCTTCTTTGAAGGCATGAAAGCTACGGCCTACGATTAAATAGGCAATGCAGTTTTATTCCAATTAAAAAAACAAAGAAGAGACAACAGCAAGCAATCTTTGATCGAACAGTGTTTGTAGTGGTGCACATGTATATTATTATAGTAAAAAAAATTCTTCGAAGACGTTTGTTTCTCTTTCGAAGCTGTAAACTAGGTTGGATTTTTTTTTTTTTCAATGGATCACGTATCCGATGGCAAAATCATATATTGGATTATGCCACATTGTCAAAAGAATTTTGACAGATGTAGTAATAGAAGTGTAGGTGGCAAGAAATGATTGGATAGATAAGTTGACTGTGTTTTAAACAATTCAATAATAGAATGTAGAGTGTGTTTGAGCCACATTGTTTTGAAAGAATGTATTTTGGAATAGTAGATTGATGGAGAATGTGTGATTAAAAAAGAATGAAAAATTATTGATGTGATGTAAAATATTATTTTATTGAAAAATGTATAGTTGAAAATGAGTCGAAGAATGAGAATAAAGATTTTAATGTAGCTCAAACAGGAGCGTAATGTGACATTATATCAACATTTCTGTTAACTTACACTGTAGCATGATTGACATATATTTGACATTGTTGGTGTGCCTTGTCAATAGAGAGACTTTTCGTCATTATTAAAATCAAATTGCAACGATAGATAACAGACCAAAATCTGGTCTGGTCACACAGTGTAAACTGCCTACTTAAAAATCGATAAAATAATCGGTGATCTGGTCGGTTAAGCCCAAAGTCAATAAATCAGCCACGATTTTGTCGGTTCGCTGTGACAATTACTCAGCAAATAAAATTCTTTTATAAGCTTTTATCGCCCTTTTCCATGTGAAAATCATTTAACTTTCTAGCCCATTGTGCACTAAATGTAAATCTTTTTTAACGTATAATCACATCAAATGATTGTGAAATCTATCTTAAAATAGTATTTTTTTTCGTTTAGATAAATGCTTGTATTTTCTTAGGGGGATAAACGATTTACATAATAATAATTTTTTCATTAAAAAAAAAATGAAAATTGTAATTACTTTGAATCGGCGACGTGGAAATAGTCATCCATTCTTATAAATTTCTCATAGTATATGGTTTTATTTTTTAATATGGGTTCGACCTCGATTGAACGTTATGTTCGATACCGAATCTTTTTGAAAACATTGCTTTTTGTTGCTAGTAAAATCCAAGAATAATGCAAAATGGAAAAGTCTAACTGTACGTAATTTGGTCACATAATGGTGTCAATAATGTGATGTGAACAAGATTTGACTGTTGATGTGAAAGTGTGAGATTTAAACTTGTAATTATGGACACCATTATGTACACAATTATGTACGTGTAACACTTCCCATGCAAAATTACCTAGAATACAACCACTCTGATATTTTATAAGATAAACAAACACAGTCTTAACAGAGCCCAAATGCACAATCTCAGAATACAAATGGAATAACAGCTTTTCTGTTCTTGGGATAATCCTCCGTAAACTTGTCCAAGTACCACTTATGATTTGCTCCAGCCCGGGGCACCAAATTGGCACAAGTATAAATAAAAAACGCTAACCCGGCCCAAGACCAAGTCATTAGAGCCCAGCCTAACCACTCCAAAATCTCTCCAAAATAATTGGGACAACTCACCAGCTCAAAAAGGCCTCCTTTAGGTATCTTGTAGCCACCTCCCTCTCTCTTCAGGCCCATTAACATATTATCCGACCACAAATTTGCATACATACCGCTCAAGAAAACCACCAATCCGCCCGCAAATCGCCACCAGAAGCACTCGTCACCTTCAAGATCTGCATATTGAGAGACCCATCTAGATTGCAAGTAACCGTTCAATAGATTGAATCCAAACGCCATCATGGCCACGCTCACCGGGAAACCGGCGGCGGGTTTCCTTACGGAGGGAGATTCTGTATTGTTTTTCCGGCGATGGGTGTTGATGAATAGCCTGATCGGGTAGATGATGGTGCGATGGAAGTAGTGGAGAAGGAACGGAGACATGAGAATCTTGGCACGGAAGTTGTGGTAGTTGTTGCCATAAGGGAAGATGAGGAAAGTAAGCCAGATGGTGGGGCTCTCCATGAGGAACCAAGCCAACGGTGGCGGGATAGTGGGGCCCCATCCGGGGCGGTGGTGCTTGCCATAAGGAGCGGTGAGAAACAGGAGGGAGATTATTGTTGGTGGTGTAATTAGATAGAGAGATAGAAGGCTGTAGTTGAAGAAATTCTGATCTGAGAACATTGTGCTGATTGCTGAGAGTCAACTTTTTTAATTCGGAAAATTTGTAAATTTGGGACAGAGCGAAATGGAGAAGACGACCTGTCAATTTGGCTATTAATACGAGGTTGTTAAGGCGTGTTTTGCAGGAGGGATGTGAACTTGTTAGCTTGAAGAGAATGCTATTCTTTTGGCGAGAATAAATGGGTGACTAGTCGATTATTATTGTTGTTGCTGTTGTTATTTATTCATTTATTCAAGAGAATGCACCACATTTCTTAAAATTCATTTTTAACAAAACTAAGCTCTTCTTCCACAAAGAGTTTGATGCTCTCCTTAATCGACACTCACATGCACGTGGAATCTGCGTGAGACCCATGTGAATAAAACGAGTTACAACCTTAGTTTAGATGACGTTAGATGATGGACTAAATGAAATGTGGAATTAAATGACTTATTTAATTTTACTACTCATTTAATGCTACATTAACGCTATCAAAATTGAAGTTGTAAGGGCAGTGATGCTAAATAGCATTACGTGTGTTTGCCACATTATTTTGGAAGAATGTATTTTGAAATAGTAGATTGATGGAGAATGTGTAGTTGAAAAAGAAGGAGAAGTTATTGATATGATGAAAAATATTATTTTATTCAAGAATGTGTGTTTGAAAACTAGTAGAAGAATGATAATGAAAATTTTAATGTGGCTCAAACAGGGCGTACCTATTGTAGATCGAGTGCTAAAACATATGGGTGTAGAAAAGTAAATAGTGAAAAGCTTAGTTTGGGCATGGGACGACCCAACCTGTGTCGTGTCGCAGATCAAGAAAAATCAAGATAGAATTTCAACAATTAATTGATGTTGGTGAATTTGTACTTTAAGCATGTTTTATACATAATATTGAACAGAACTTCATAGTATAACAAACAAGATCTTATATTGAATTCTAAATTGAACAATGAATCAAGAGCACAACTGTCTCTAAGACCAGTGATGATAATCACGATAGCATTTTTCATATATTTTTTGCCTGCTTCTCAAACAAAAACACAGCATAAAATAGTAGCTAACTACTAACGAGCTAAAGAGGAATCAGACTGAACAAAAAGATGTCAACAAGTATTTCATCTATCAGATCAAACAATTATACAATTGTGTTAAGGTGTCCATAATTAAGATTTAACTCGTCTGCCGGATTTGCCTAGGATTTATATCCCTCTTATCCCCTGAGATCCTTTCATTCTTGATACGCTGGATTTCCGCTTCATCAATATTGTGGAGCAAGACTATTACTCTAAAGCTAGAATATACATTCGAATACTCCTGTCCTCACTGCTGTCTAGAATACTCTTTCTCCGGTAGCGTAGAGATTCCAAAAAACAGTTGCAGTGAAGTAGAGACATGATGTGAGAGTTAAGAATGCTTGAAAAGATCCTAGCCACTGTACGAAGAAACCTGTCCCAATCGTGCTGATTATTGCTGCCAA